ATGGGGAAAACCCAAGAGTAGGGCCCTGGGTGGGAGACCTTGACTCCCAGTTGTATGTCTCAGGATTTGACCTGACTGACCCTGAGTATAACCTTGGACCTTAGTTTGCCTACTTTGGGGGTGAGGTCAGAGTGGCGGTCATGAAAATCTGACTCACATCAAAATTCATAAGATTAAAAAAATTCATAAGCTCTTGTCTGTTGAGGCCAAGATGATCTACAAACCTAGATATCTTTAACTATCCCTTCCCCACCCTCAGCCCTTTCCTCCTCAGGGCCATCTCAGTAGTAGCTGCATTTCAGGCTGGAAGAATGATTCATGAAGGTGTTTTGCTGGGGGGCAGTCAGAAAGCTCCCAGCTCAACATCTTTCTTTCTTGGGAAGAGTTTGGTATCAGTGCAGAGGTGCTAGTGAGAATGCTTGCCATGTGCACATCTCTTTCTTTCTCCCACTCGTATTTCACACATTTCCTTGCTGATTTCCTTTACTTTTCCCTTTCCACTCCTTCTCCGCTGCCTATCAGCTAAGATAGCCAGAGACCTGGTATACAGTATTGCTCTGTCTCAGATACACCTCTCAGTCAGAGGGTAGAAAGGTTGCAGTGTCCTGTCCTAAGGTATTGATTTGGGGGCCCAGTGAGGGACAGCAACCACTTCCTCTGTAGGACAGACAGTTCAGGGCTGGGCAGAGTAGTGGGAAAGGCTGTTCTGGAAGGAGACCCATGACCAGCCCCAGGGGATAGCTGGGGGGGGTGGGAGGAAGGGGGGTTGTTCAGGGAATCAAGGGGAGGAACCAGCAGAACAAGTAGGTTTGGTTCAACTCAGCAACTTTCCCTTCTTCTCTCCACACCCCCCCCTCAACTGCACACACACCCCAGGGGGGTAGGAGGAGCTCATAGACATGTTGCCTAGGCATCTAATGTCCTTTTTCCTAGGGGGTGCTAGCTGTGGAGGAGGAAAAACCTTTAAGGGATTTCCTCCTCTCCTCTCTGCCCGCCCCTCAGTGCACCAAGCCCCCAGCCTTGAAGGGTGATGGGCAGAGCTGGGGGAGGGGAAGCAGCTGGCATCTCACAACCTTGCAATTAATAGCCAGCAAGGAGCCAGCCCGGCTTGGGAACAGCAGCTGGTTCTCTGGGCCCTGTTGGCCTCCCTCCCCCATGTGCTTACCACTTCTTCAAACACGTGATCTTTTCTCCTCCACATAGTCATAAGGCCTCTAAGCCAGATGGGGAGTTAATTCACCTCAACTATTCATCAAGGATAGACTAGGACAAGTTTTAGAACCCCTAAGGGAGACTGGAGTGGGGGGATGGGACTAAGGCTAGACAGCACAGGTTATCACCAAAAAAAGATACAGTCTCCTGGGTCAATGCTGGTCTTGGATCAGAGGCAGGATTTTGCTATAGGTAGGAGAACACCTTAATTAGATCCCTTATAACAAAGACCTCTGGGCAAGTCATCTGCTAAGCTCCCTAACTCAGGCACTTTTGCCTGGGGCCCTGTATTTCTTGCTTTACCTATGAGATCTCGGGCTCAACAGACTAAGAGCTTCAAGTTTGGAGGGGAAGGAGGAAGCACAGACTAACTGGGTTAGACCTGGAAGGTACTTTCATTCTCAAGTCCAGCCACCTGATTTTGCAGATGAACAGTTAAGTGCCTTGAATGAAATCTAGCCTCAGCCCATCAAGTTTCCAGAAGGCTGGATTGGGAGGCAAGCAGAGAAATGGACATAATGGGAAGGAGGGCAGGACTACAGGGGAAGTGGTCCGATGAGATGAAAGTCTTTCCTTAAAACTGATAATAATAATAATGGCTAGCCTCTACATAGTACCTACTATGTGCCAGGCACAGCTAAGTACTTTACAAATATTATGTCATTTGACCCTCACAACAACCCTGGGAGGTGGGTGCTATCATTATCCCCACTTTATAGTTGATGACACTGAGGCAGACAGAAGTTAAGTGACTTACTTGCCCAGGGTCACACACCTAGGATCTGATGGGAGATTTGAACTTGGATCCTCCTGACTCCAAGCCCCAAACTCTATCTTCTTTGCCCTAGTTTGTTTAAAACAAGTGGGGTCATTGATCCCTTCATTCTCTTCATTTGCCTGACTGACTTTAAGTGGCAAAGTCTTCTGGAAGGATAACTCAGTGAAGAATTCCTTGAAGCCTTTCAGAAAGCTGCGAGTCTAGTTTGGGGGTAGAGGCGGGAGAGGGAGGGTAGACAGAGCCCTTCTTTTCTCTCCCTACCCAGAAGCCAGTGGGGGTTGGACAAGACGTACCTTCCAGTTTTAACTTCTGTCACTCCCCCTCTCTGGGTCTCAGTTTACCCATCAAAAAGGTGGGGGGATGGAGGTGATCTCTATGGTCTTTTCTAGTTCCAGATCCCTATGTATCTATGCTCTATCAGGTCCTTAGGAGCGTCCACTGTGTCTCCCCATCTTAATGGCAGTAGGAGAAAAGAGATCAGTCCAGGGACTCCATTGAAGGAGACTTGTCAGGGTGCTAGAAGAGAAACAAATAGGGGAAATGGAAAGATGGTGGACAAACTCTGAAGACGCCCTCATTTGGTTGAGCGCTGGCCTTGTATAGAGAAAGCTAAAAGTCATCAGATGAGGACCTGGCACTAGTTTCTCTCTCTGTCCCAACTGGAAAAAGTTGGTCCATTCTCTGGTTTTGACACTCCTTTCCTTTTTCCCTCTCCCTCCATTCTCCGGCAAAAGAAGAGCTCTATTATCAAGAGGTGATTGCTACCTTTACTTGCTGCTGCTGCCCTGAAGGACTCTCTGAATCATGATCATTTCATTCTCCCTCCCCTGTTGTAATGGGAACGTTCCCAACTCTTCTATGCATGGAGACAGGAATGGCATGTGTATGTAAGGCAGGTAGTTGGGGTGGAGGGAGGGAAATGGAGGGGGGAGGTGTCAATGGGCAGTAAGAGGTTTTCTCAACAGAAGATAGGAGATTCTAGGGCTGGGCCAAGGGCAAAATTGCGAAATTAGTCTAAAAGTGATGCTATTGCAGTGGCTGGCTTATTGGTCATGGGGTCTGGAGAGCTGGCTGCTACACAGAGCTGGACCACTGGCTCTGAAACTTTCTTTAGGTAAGTCATTTCCCTTAGACAGTTTCCCTGTCTGTACAAGGCTTGGACTAGATCCCTTCCATCTTGTCATCCTTTTTATCTATTCCCCTCTCTGCCATCCTTGAATCCAACCCATTTCTTTCAACCCCCAAGGAATCTTCCCTGGGTTCCAGTGGGGAAAGGTCTTGCCCTCACCTAACTGTCCCATTAAGGTAGCAAGTGCACTTACATTTAGGGTTAGGATTACTTCTTGCAGGAACATTTTCATTTTTATAGGAAATACCTGAAGCCAAAGAAACCCAAAAGAAAGAATCTATTACAGAGGAATTTCAGTTGATGGTGATTGTTGGGAGTGGTGGGATTTGGAGGCAGGGCTGGCGAACCCTGCCTGGGTGCTGTAGAGACCTGCTTCCTTTCTATGGTCAGGCCAGATAAGCAAACACAAAAGGGAGAAGCTGGGGACCAGCCAGGACACCCCCTCACCCAGTGTCAAAGCACATGTGGAAGATGGAAGGGTCCTTAGGGATCATTTAGTCTAATTCCTTCATTTTACAAAGCCAGGACTGGAACACAGGTCACCTGACTTCTAGATCTTTGGTCATTCCACTTTACCTTCTGCAGTTGGTAAAGCTGAATAAAACCAAGGACTACAGCAGGACATACCAACTCCAGGTTTTTTCTGAACAGCACCAAAAGTCCCATCCCCAGGATCTCACCCTTCTTGGAACCCCTCCCCCCCTTTTCCCCCTTCTCTCTCCCAATTTCCTAGTGGAGATGGGAGGTTCCTAGAAATCTTGCCACATGGAAGGAGTGGACAGGGGCAGCCAGGCAAAGGAAGATACAGCCTCTGTAATTACTGCTCTGCACAGACACTATCTTGCTCGAGGTGCCAGGGAGTCTGGCGGGGAAATACCAGCCCAGCCTGACTAGGTCTGTTGTGTGTCTGAGAATGTCCCGGCAGCTGAATTGGATGGGGGATGGTAGAGGGGGACCCCGAGTGTGGTAGAGGAAGGAAGATTGGTTGGAGATTTGGCTTTGAAGGTTGTTGTCACCCTATGCACAGGACATAGGGCCAAAGGGCAAGGCTTTTTAGTTTCTCCTTATGGTCAAGTTCCTTTTCTTTTTTTTCTTTTTTTTTTAAATCTGCCCACAGCAGGAAACAGTTCCTCTCCTAAAGAGGGCCCCTGACCCATCCCTCTAGCTGAGTTTTGGGAAGTGGAGGGGACGTGGGGGCAGGATCAAAGTCTCTGTGTCTCCCCATCACCCAACACTCCCTCCAGCACCTCCTCTCAACGAAAATGAGCGTCCAGGAAGAGAGCTGTTGCCTCTTGTTGCCGTGGCAACAAGCCCCACATTGCCCATAAAACCAGCTTGCACCATCGTTTTTAAATTTTTTATCATCATTTTAGGCCTGTCTCCAAGAACGGTATTAGAATGTGGCTTGGTGACATGGAAATCGTCAGGGCCCATGTTTTATTAACAGCCTGTCGGGGAAGAGGTGGAGGGAGAATGGGGTGCGGCTGTTAGAACAATAACCTGCCTGCAGGAGATGGTTCGGTCGGTTTGCCCTCCTCCTCACCACTGTGGTCAGAGAACTACAGAATTGTACATTGTCATCATTAGAAGGGACCTTAGAAAACTGTCTGGACCAATCCCTTCATTGCCCAGAGGGGAAGTGGCTGGCCCAAGGTCACAGCAACAGAACCAGAATTAGGCTTCCCCCACGCCTCAGCGACTCTCCCAGAGCATGAGGGGTCCCACACCCTTGGGGTGCCGGCCCCCTATGACCTGGAGTGGAAGAGGAAGAGGTGCCTGACGCTGTCCCTCTGGATCTCAGGGAGCTACTCTCAAGGCCAAGGACCTTCTTTTTGCATCCACCAGTCTCTGCTTTTCCACAAAGTCAGACTCAGCCTCAGGTGATCTTAACTCAGTTTATTAAAAAACGTTTGGATTTGTAAAAATGTGCTAGCTGACCCACTCCTCCATCCCATCAGGTCCCTGGAACTGGGCTGGGGTGGTCTTTCTGGCTTTCTTCTTTTAATGCAAAAGTCCAAAAGGGTACCCCAAACTGGGGAGAGGGAGTCTGAGTAAAATCCCCAAATCCTTTTAACAGCAGCCAGCCTCTCCTTTAGTTCATATGTTTATAAAAATAAAACAGGTACAAGTACACACACGCATATATGCATGTATGAATGCATATATATATATATATATATACATAAAATATATATGTATAATAGAACACATCTCCCACCTTTTTAGGGAATTAGATGGGCAGGACCCTGGCCGATCTCAGCTCCCATAATGGCCCAATAAAGTCATTATCTTATGATTACTATGTTCTTGTGAATTTGTAGAAGGTTGGGGGTATGGTGGAGGCTAGGGGAGAAAGGACAGACAGGAAGGGGAGCAGGAGGAATCGACTGGGAGACAAGGGGGATGAAACCCGGCCATGTGGGTCTACTGGACCACCTTTGCCTGTCCTGAGTAGTGTGCACCCTACCCTCAGCCTGGTAAGGGCCAAGTTCCAAGCAGCTTCCTGCTGTGTCCCGGCACTCACAGCCCAGGCCCAGGGCTGTCGACACTAAAAAGTACCAGTTGCAGTTCCCAGAGAGTTTGCCCAAGTAACATTCCCTGATGCAAGCTGGCCCTTCCCTCGTCCTTCCCTTGCACTAAGGGACTTGGATCTGTAGGTCCTCATCCTCATCCAGGTCACTCGTACCATCCCCAGGTTCTTCAGTCCCAAACCGAGAGCTCCGGATCTTTCCAAAGAGTGGGGTGTTCTGCTGCCGGCGGAGCCTGTTACAGGGACCGGGTGAGGAGTAGAAGGGAAGAATGAGACGGTCAGAGACTTAATACAGAATACAGGGGGAAATTTCAAATACTGCTGGTCCTACCCAAGGCAAGAAAAAACTGGTATATCAAGATAACTGCAATGGAAATCCCAATTAGGTATATAGTACAATGGAAAGAACAACAGCTCAGGAATCAGAGGACCTGGGTTCAAATTCTGCTTCTGACAGTTGCTACCCAAGTGACCTTGGGAAAATCTTGTAAGCCTTCCTAAACCTCAATTTCTTTATCTGTAAAAATGAGGGGGAGGAGGCAGTTTGGCTCTCAACCCAGCTCCAAGCTTGACCGTCAACCTCTTCCCAATAGAGTCTCTCGAAATATGGTATAATGGAAGGAGCACCAGACTGAAAAGAATGAGTACTACTCTTGGCTCTCAATAACCATGTAATCTTGTACTATTCTCTTACTTTCACTGTGCCTCAGTTTCCTTATCTGTTAAATAGGAATAGTAATTTATTGCCCTATATTCCCTAAGCTGGTCTGAGGATCTAAGAAGTAAAAGCATTTTTAGAAGTATAAAGTGCTCAATAAACATACTGAGGTAGCTAGGAATTATATAGTTAGAGCAACTAGATGGGAAAGGTAGACAGAACACTGGGCCAGGAGTCAGGAAGACCTGAGTTCAAGTCCTAACTCATACACTTCCTAGCTGTGTAACCCCAGGCAAGTTATTTAACTTGTCTGCCTCAGTTACTTCAACTGTAAAATGGGTACAATAACAGCACCTACCTTACCAGGTTGCTAGGAGGACCAAATGAGACAGTATTTGTAAAGCTTAGCACAGTGCCTGGCAAATTGTTGTTGTTCAATCATGTCTGACTCTTCCATTACCCCTTGGACCATACTGTCCATGGGGTTTTCTTGGCAAAGCTACCCGAGTGGTTTGCCATTTCCTTCTCCAATGGATTAAGGCAAACAGGATTAAGTAACTTGCCCAGGGTCACACAGCTAGTAAGTATCTGAGACCAGATTTGAACTCAGGTCTTCCTGACTCCAGGCCCAGCACTCTATCCACTTAGCCACCTAGCTGCCTCCCACTTGGCAAACAGTAGGTGCTTAATAAATGCTTATCCCCTTTCCTTCCCCTTCCCTAGTGGATAAAGTGCTAGACTTGAAGTCAGAAACACCTGAGATCAACTCCTGCCTCAGATAGTACCTGTGTGACCCCTGATTAATTATTTAATCTCTGCCAGCCTCAGTTTCTTCATCCATAAAATGGGTATAATAATAGCCCCTACTTAACAGGACTATTGTGAGGATTAAATGAGATACCACATATAAAGTACTTCGCAAATCTTAGAGTGTTATATAAATGCTAGAAATTATTATCAAATGTAAAGGATTAGAATTATTACCCAACTATCTGGGGTATTATGAAGCCTAGGGACAGGAATGAAGTTAATACCTTATGAATGTAGCTTAAACTATGGGGGAGGGGTCATATAATTAACAAATCACATATAATTAACGAATCAAAAGCATCGAGCATGAATGTGTGCCCAGCATCCACAAAAGTGGATGCCTCCTAAAGGAGCAGAAGTGATCCCAGTTTCTTCAAGTTATGCCAGAAGAGCACGGGCTCCAGCAGGCCCTTCTAAATTGGAAAGACCCTAAGTACAGGCTTTGTAATGGACTGTCTGTCCCATTTCTGAGCACCACTTTGATCAGTCAGTCAGCAATTATTAGGTGCCCATTGTGTGCCAGGCACTGGGCTGGTCGGCAAAAACAGTCCCTGTCCTCAAAGAGCTTATATTCCAGTGGGGGAAGACAATATGTATATTGTTGTCATTCAGTCATTTTTCAGTTGTGTCTGACTCTGTGACCCCTTTTGGGGTTTTCTTGGCAAAGACACTGGAGTGGTATGCCATTTCCTTCTCTAGCTCATTTTACAGATGAGGAAACTGAGGCAGATAGGGCTAAGTGACTTGCCCAGGGTCATATAGCTAGTGTCTGAGACTGGATTTGAACTCAGGTCTTCCTGACTTCAGATCTGGTGCTAGTCTATTCACTGAGCTACCTGGCTGCCCAGTATGTATAGATAGAGGTATATAAAAATAGATACAAGGTAATTTGGGGAGAAAGCAATAGCAGCTGGGAGGATCAGAAAAGGTCTCAAGGTGGAGCTTGAACTGAACTGTGAAGAAAGCAGAGATTACAAGAGACAAAGGTGAGGAAGTACATTTTAGGAGAACAGCCAATGAAAAAGCACACAGGAACCTGAGTATCATGTTTGCAGAATAGCAAGGCCAATTTGACTGGATTGCAATATTAGGCGGGGGGGACTGATGTGTAATAAGGCTAGACAGGTAGGTTGGGGCCAGGTTGTTAAGAAATGTATATATTGGGACAGCTAGGTGGCACAGTGGATAGAGCACCGGCCCTGAAGTCAAATCCGGCCTCAGGCCAAAAACTTGACACTTACTAGCTGTGTGACCCTGGGCAAGTCACTTAACCCCAATTGCCTAAAAAAAAAAAATGTATACATCAAGAGTTGTTTACATTTGATCCTAGAGATAGAAGGGAGCCATTGACGTCTACTGAGAAGGGGAGTAACGTGGTCAGATTTATGCTTTAGGAAAATCAGTTTAGCAGCTGTGTGATGGATGGATTGGAGAGGGGGAGAGACGTGAGGCAGGGAAACCTATTAGGAGGGTGTTTCAATAGCCCATAAGAGAGACGATGAGAGAGTGGAGAAGAGAGGAGGTATGGAAGAGATGTTGTGGAGGTGGAAAAAATAACATTTGGTAACTGACTGGATAAACGGGGTGAGGAGATACGGATGACATCAAGGTCATGAACCTGAGTGACATGAAGGATGGGGTGCTATCCACAGAAAGAGAAGGATGTTCAGCGGACAGATGAGTTTTAGAAGAGAGATAATGAATTTAGCTTTGGACATGTTGAGGTTGAGATGTCTCCAGAACATCTGATTCAAAATCCCAGTGGGCAGTTGGTGATGGAGTTTAGGAGAGACTAGGGCTGGAAGGACAGTTCTGGGAGTCAGTGGCCCAGAGATGATAACCGAACCCATGTGAGCGTACGAGGTCATCAGGAGAGAGAGAGCGTCAGGAGACAAGAGAGCCGAGGACAGAGACTTGGAGGGGACACGAACTATTGCAGGAATGAGGCTGATGATACCCCGGCAAAGGAGACTGAGAAGGAACAGAGAGACAAGGAAAAAACACAGAAAGGAGAGAGTATCCAGTAGAAGTGTGTGGTCAATAGTGTCAAATGATGCCAAGAGGCCAAGAAGGACGAGGTTGGGGGAAAGGTCATCCGCCCAGTTTGGCAACGAAGAGCTCATTGATGATTTCAGAAAGGGCAGCTTCAGTTAAGTGAAGAGGTCAGAGGTCAGGATTTAGAAGACAGTGAAAGGAGAGGAAGCAAAGGCAACAACTGTAGGAAGCTTTTTCAAAGAATTTTCAAAGAGAATGGAAGGAGAGAATAGGAAAACAATTTGAGGGGATGGTAGAGCCTAGGAAAGAATTTTTAAGGATGTGACTGCAGGCACTAGGGAAGGAACACAGAGAAAGACTGAAGATTAAGGGGTGGGAAAGACAGTGGAGACAAACTGCTGGAGAAGACTGATGGGCTCATCGTCAGGCTGCTGCAGAATAATGAATTTTTTGGCCACTGAATTCTTCTTTTTTTTTAAGACTGGACCTCCTCGTCTTGATAAAAGTGCAGGGTCTCTCCCTGGGCCTAATTCCACTACTGATCGACACAAGATCTTTCACCTACTCCATCTCAGACCTCAGAGAGCTCACTTCTCCTTAGGCAGTCAGGTGGCTTCCATGATCCCGGGTGGGAGGAGGGGTTCACCATGTTGGTGAATTAGTGCAAGTATCTGATTGAGCTAAGTCCACTGTAGCCAGGCGTTCCCAAGCTAGGGATCCTTCACCCGCAGCCTCCCTAGTAGCCAAATGACAGGTGTGTATCACCATACCAGCCACAGCAACTTTTAAAGAGTACCTACTAAGTTGTTTTTTCCCCTTAAATTAATCATACATTATTCATTTCAACAAGTATAGAGTGCATGCTATGTGCATTGTGCTAGGTACCCACACCTACACAATTGTAAAGGGGTTGCAATTTGTGTCTGTAGAAGGAATACAAATATCAAGGAAATCCACCAGTCCTTGAAGGACAAACACAGCACGTGTCCAGCACTGAGCAAGGCTCTACGAAGGCATATAAAGATGTTCATGGTCCCTGCCCTTGAGAGCTTCAAATTTCCTTGAGATAAAACTAATACATATAGACCAACTGAGAAATAAACATAACACTGAGCTGTGTGGCAGACGCAGCCAATGCTGTAGAAATACAGAATGAGAGGCCAAAAACTCCCTCATGGGGGAGTTGGGTCTACAAAGACCAGTAGGGTTTGAATCCAGAGAGTGGACGAGAGGGCATTCCAGGTGAGAAGCCCAGTGGGAGCCAAGTCTGAGTCAAGGGAAAGAGGTGGGAATAAATTAATGTGTTCCCCAGTCAGTGAGGAATCTTACCTAGGTCAGGGAGCAGAGAGAATGAAGGCTGGACAAGTGGTATTGGGCTCCGTTTACAGAGAGCTGGGAAGGCCGGGCAAAGGCGTTTATTGTTATTGTTGTGTAGCTGTTTCACTCGTGTCTGACTCTTTGTGACCCCATTTCGTGACAAAGATACTGAGGTGGTTTGTCATTTCCCTCTCCAGCTCATTTTACAGATGAAGAAACTGAGGCAAACAGGGTTAAGTGACTTTGAACTCAGGAAGATGAATCTTTCTGACTCCAGGCCTAGCACGACGTGAGTTCAGATCTAGCCTCAGACAGTCACAAGCTATGTGACCCTAGGCAAGTCACTTAACTTCTTCAACTATAAGATAGGGATAACAACGGCAACTACCTTTTAGGGTTGTTGTGAGGATTAAATGAGAGAACATTTGTAAAGCACTTAGCACTGTGCCTGGC